AAATTGGAAAACAATAATTGCCCCAAATTGCATTGATCATTACTGCTTCATCTTGTAACTGACCTTTCTGCCCAAATGGAAGCAACTCGACCAAGCCTACAAATGGTAGAGAATGATGGATAACCAGAATGAACAAGACAATTGAGTTGAAAAAAATGGTTATGGTCGAACTTCAGGATAAAGTGTCTACGTATCCAAAGATGAGAATTAGGCCTTATGTAGTTCGTAAGGGTTCACTTGAGTATTTATTCTCTCATTTTACACTCTAATTTTCTCTAAGGTTGCCCTTTGGTTTTCGGCCATGCGAGCTCAATTTTTCTTTATTTCTAATTTTTCATGCTCTAACTTTTCCTAGGTCGCCCTTTCGGGTTTTTGGCTAGCGAGCCTCTCATGAATAATATTTCTTCAACTTGCTACGTTGATCAATTGCGAAAACTCCAGCCATCCAAATCCATAAGAATAATTGCTCATCCGGACCAATTGACTTGATGATATAAGGACCAGTACAATTGGGTTCTGAACTTGCCCCTAGGGTCGTGGATGGGGGCTGTTATCTTTGAGCACCATGTCTCCTTTCTTGAGATTTCGACTTGACTTTCTTGTTAAAAGCCCTAGCAACTCTACGCGGTAGCCTTGGATATGATACAATGCCTTCAACCTCCTTTTGTCGAACAACATCAATTCTTCAAATATGCTATGTTGCCAATCCGCCTCCGCTGTCTGACATCGGCCATAATTCTCAGTGATGTACTTCAATCTTGATTGTAGAATAGCTTCCATCCTATAGACTAGAGATCAAGGGGTTGCCCCTGTAGATGTTCGTATTGACGTTCTGTAGCCCTAGAGTGCAAATGGCAATTTTTCCGCCAGTCCCTGTAGGTTTCCACTGTCTTCTGCAGGATTCTCTTGATGTTTTTGTTTGCAAGCCTCAATGGCTCCATTGGTCTACGGCCTGTATGTTGATGACTTACAAAAAGTCACATTATATTTCTCTAGCAAGTCTATCACCTTTTTCTTGAAATGTGAGCCGTCATCTGAGATGATCTCATTGGGCATCCTATACCTATAGATGATGTTGTTTTGATGAACTTGGCCACATGCGACACTTTTAGCACAAATAGGACTGGGCCTCTACCCACTTAGTGAAGTAGTCGATTGCTACTAAAATGAACTTATGCCCATTTGACCCCTTAGGCGTGACTGCGCCAATAATGTCAATTCCCCAGATTGGAAAAGGCCATGGCGAAGTCATGTTGTACAGCTTTACTGGCAGAATATTCATATGATTAGCATGGATCTAACATTTGTTGCATTCCGTACAAAGCCAATACAGTCCTCTTCCATGGTTGACTAGTAGTAGCCTTGTCTAAGGATTTTCCGAGCTAGCATCACACTGTTCATGTGAGCTCTAAACTCTCCTCTATGAATAGCTTCCATAAGGCGCCTTGATTCTTCTTCCTCAACACACAGCTTATGCATTCCTAGATGACCTTTTTGTACAACTTGCCTCCACAGATGATAATTGGACGGCTAAACGCCGTATTCCCCTTTTGTCCTTTGCATTTGCCCTGGTGGATATGCCTCTTTTTCTAGGAAATTTTAAATGTCGTAATACCAGGGGTTATATCTTGAATCTCATTTATCACGGCAATGGTTTCATCAGCAGGCGTGTACTTCTATTCAATAATGATCGGACGCATCTTTACTCCAAGCAGGATGTCCACCATGGAAGATAGAGTTGCCAGCACATCAGCAAACTGATTATTCTCTCTTAGTAGATGCGTAAATGTTAATTTTTCAAATCTTGGAATTAGCACATCCAGGGCCTGATGATAAACCTTCATTTTCTCTTCTTTAACTTTCTAATCTCCGTTGGTTTGAGAAACAACAAACTCTGATGACATCCAACCTTATTGCCCTAGTTCTAGAACAGCTTCCAAGCCAGCAATACACGCCTCGTATTCTGCTTCATTGTTGGACACTTTAAATTGGAGTTTGAAGGCTAGAGGTATATGTGAATCATTCGTGCTATGAGCAATACACCTATCCCATAACCATATTGATTTGATGCTTCATCAAAGTACATCGTCCAAGTTTCCTCTTCTATCTGCAAGATGTCTTCATCTGAGAATAGATACTCCATTGCTTCATCATCTCCTTCTACTGGGTGGTCTGCTAGGAATTCCACTACGGCTCTCCCTTTGACTGATTTGCGCATGAATACTTGAGGTCAAACTCGGAGAGAAGAAGTAACCAATGAGCTAACTTAACCTGTAAGTGCTAGTTGTCTTTAAGAGATATTTGATGGGATCTAATCTTGAAACCAGAATTACAGAATGAGATAACAGGTAGTGTCTCAGCTTCCGGGTAGCCCATACCAAGGCTAGACAAGCTTTGTCCAACGGTGTGTAGCGAGTTTCATAATCCAGTAACTTCTTGATTAGATAATAGATGGCATTCTCCACCTTAGCTTCTGATTCTTGCGCTGATTCTTGCGCTAGCATGCACCCCATAGTCAAATCTGTTATCGACAAATACAAGATCAGTGGTTTCCTTAGTTCTGGTGGCGACAATATAGGTGGATTCTAAAGGTACTGTTTGACCTGTTCGGAGGTGAACTGACATCGATCATCCCATTGGAACTTCTTTCTTTCTTCAACAGACCATACAGTGGTTCACAAGTCAAGGTAATTTTGTGATAAACCGCCTGATGAATTGCACCTTGCCCAGAAAGCCGCTCACCTTTTTTCGGTCCTAGGTGGTAGCATTTCTACGATGGCCTTCATTTTGGAGGGATCTACTTCAATTCCCCTTTATGTGATCAAAAATCCCAACATTTTTCCTGCAGTTACCAAAAGTACATTTCTGTGGGTTCAACCTCAGTCTGTACTCCCTGATCCGCTTAAAGAATTTTTCCAATGCGATGTAGTGGCCTTCTTGCTCTTTAGACTTGACAATCATATCGTCCAATACACCTCAACCTCCTTTGTGGATCATGTCATGCAAGATGGTGGTTGCAACCCTCTGATATGTAGCCCCGGCATTTTTCAATCCAAAAGGCATAACTCTATAGCAGTAGGTACCCCACGGCGTGGTGAAAGCAGTTTTCTCTCTGTCCTCTGGTGCCATCGAAATATGATTATACCCGGAAAACCCATCCATGAATGAAAGCAAAGCATGACAGCTGTAAAGTCTACCAGTTCATCGATGTGGGATAATGGAAAGTCATCTTTCAAACTAGCTCTGTTCAGATCCTGGAAGTCGATGCAGACTCTGGTTCTGCCATCCTTCTTTGGAACTGGAATGATATTAGCCAACTAAATCGGGTACTCAGATATCATCAAGAAACCCGCATCAATCTGTTTGGGGACCTCCTCTTTTATCTTCGATGCCCAATTTGGGCGAACTCTACGCAATTTATGTTTGACTGGTCAAGCTTCAAGGTTAAGAGGGATCCGGTGTTGTACAATCTCAGGATCGATTCCAGGCATGTCTTCGTAGGACAAGTGAAAACATCTTTGAATTGTTTTAATAAAGCGATTAAACGCTCGCGTTCCTCTGAAGACAACGTGGATCCGATTTGGACCAAGCGAGGATCCTCCTCAGTACCCACATTAATTGCAATGATTCCATCTGTGCAGGGCTTAACGGACCTCTCCTCTTCTTGGTCAACCAAATTTTTCAAAGCCTGAGGAATTTCTTCCTCTTCGTTTAAGTCAAATTTTGAAAATCAAGATCAGTGCAACAAACCAAAGGCACAGATAAGTAAGCAAAATCTATGACATTCCTATTAGTAAAGTCTAGGTCCTCGGTTACAATTGACTCAAAAAAAAAAAAAAACTAAAAACGACTTCAACAGGACTTTGGTATCCAGGTTACCACCCCCCGGAGAAACCAGACTTAGATGAACTCGAATCTGACTCCGACTCTACAAAATCAGTGGAATCAAATTCAGATTCGTTATGCGATTCAGAACTACTGATATGCCCTTTTCAAATTTCCAAACTAGGCGCGAAGCCTCAAATGCATCCACAATAAGATTAGAGAAAACCACAGTTGGTTTATCCCCGATCATTGAGATAGTAAAACTATCCCCCAAGTTGTCAAACTCAGTTCCAACAGTAGACTTTATTAGGTCAGTTAGTGTTTTTCCCAACAGTTTTTCTTCTTCAACATCCACATTTGCAGCCATGCCTCGATCTGTATTAACGTTCAAGTCTATGTGCTCATCTTTCTCTTCTAGTAACTGGTACCCGAAGAAGATCTCGAACCCGGATACATTGTCTTTGTCTCCTGGTAAAACACTACAAGAATCTGCACTTTTAGCGACCACTTTCTGCGACCAATATAAAAGTTGGTAGCTAAAAGTTACATTTTGGCGACCAAATATTAATTAGTCGCGAATGATCATTATTTTTGGCGACCAAAAAATGAGTTGGTCGCAGAAAGTGGTATGGTTTTGGCGACCAACTACAAATTTGGTCGCGGAAAGTCACATTTTGGCGACCAAAAAATAAGTTGGTCGCGGAATATCAAAAATGAGTTGGTTGTGGAATTGGCAACCAAAATTTTGGTTGTCCAAAAACTTATTTTTAGCGACAAAAAATATTTTAGTTGCCGTATGTTGAGTTTTGGCTACTAAAACAATGTAGTCGCCGAATGGAAAATAAAAAATTATTTTTTATCTTTTTGGCAACCAAAATTTTGGTCGCCAAAAACTTATTTTTAGCGACTAAAATTATTTTAGTCGCCTTATATTGAGTTTTGGCTACTAAAACAATGTAGTCGCCGAATGGAAAATAAAATTAAATATTTGTCAAAAAAAATTAAATTTATGTCAAATTTTAAAATTAAAATTATTTGATATTAATATTTGTCAAAATCAAAATTAAATTTATGTCAAAAAAAATTAAATCACCAAAAAATTAAAATATTTGAAGGTACACATTTCAAATTTAGGAGGATTTATAAAATTACAACTCCCTCTCTTTCCATGATTTATAAAATTACAAATTTTGGAGGATTTGGAGGGACACATGTTATCCCCCTTATTTTGGAGGGATCTTTGAACTCGCTCATCCCTCTCTCTCGTCCCTCTCTCTCATCCCTGTAAAGAAACCGGAGCTGCGATTGAACCCTTGAAAACTTTCTCTCGCTCATCCCTCTGTCTCATCCCTGTAAAGAAATCGGAGCTGTGATTGAACTCTTCAAAACTTTCTCTTGCTCATCCCTCTCGTCTCTGTGTTAGGTGGAGAAGTTGGAGCCGATTAAACTCTTCAAAACCCTCTCACTCATCCCTTTCTCATCCCACTCGTCTTTGTGTTGTGTAGACAAGCTAGAGTTGACTCCTCTCATACGCTAAAAACGGCGGCCAGAAACTCCTGTAACGACGGCGGAAACTCCTCAGGTAAAACCAAGATTGCAAAACTAGGGTATGCATTTTGCCTTTAATTGCTATTAGGGTTACGATTTTGCCATCAATTTTCTGTTACGAGTTGTATTTTGCCTTGAAGATTCTATTGCGATTGATTTGAAATTTTTTGGGGGGCTTATGAATTAAATTAAGGATTGTGTGTTTGATTTGAGACTTTGATTCTATTAATGAACATTCTATGAATTTAGGATTGTTGTTTTTTTTTAGTCAAAGTTAGGATTGTGATTCTATGAAATTAAACAATGACTGATATATTGGTTAGATCTTTCAATGCATATGGCGTTGATTTTTGTTCAAGATTACTAAACTATTTGAACATTCTTTTTGGAACTAAGATCACTTAAGTTGGAACTAAGATCATTGATTAATAAAGTGAAAATAAAACTGTAAATTTCGAAATTCCCAAACTCTGTCAATGTCTTAATGAAGAAAGAAAATAGTTGCTGATATTAGGACTTTGAATGCAGTTTGTTGCGAAAATGTTGTTCTCGCTTCATTCATATGAATAACGATTTTTACGGATAGCCAACCTTTCAGGCTCTCAGCTTATAGCGATTTAGCACAGTCGCAGTTAATTATTTGGAATTTCACTTAATTGATGAACTCTTGTACACCGCAAGATGGTTATTTTCTAGATTTCTTCTTCTGACTTGTGCATTGAGGATCGGAATGTAGCCTTAGCTTAGTGAGCATTGCAGTGAAATGTCATGGCTAAATTAACCTACTATCATTCACAAAAAAATATATATATATACACCACAAAAGTTATGCTCACATAGTTATTCATTCTTGCTTTTGGTGACTGATTTAGTTTTACTGTTTCAGCCTAACAATCTACAGTTTGTATCAAATTGCAGCATACAAAATGTGAATGGGGCTCTGGTTTTATTCCCATTGCCGAGTATGGAACTGAGTTTCATAAGGGTTCAAGAAAAGGAAAATCAGGGAAAGTTGTGAGGCTTGTGTATAGTGGCCTTGTGCTTGTGCTTCATTATTGTAAGCATATTTAAATGGATCTTTCCTACCTATATATTTTCATTGTGGACCTTCAAAACTGGTTGATCAAACATAAACTGCTGTGTAGGAGTTTTGGACAGTTCTTCAACATGATCATGGGATTAGTTTTGGGGGGCCATGACTTGAAACACATACAACTGAATTCCATTGGGTGGATAATTGTAAAAGAGAAATGTTTTAGTTGTGGACAAGTAACAAATTTTTTTTCTTTTAGTTTTGGTGCGGGGAAATTGATTAGATTTATCTCACATTTGTCTTCATTTCATGTTAACATTAGGAATGGTGTGAAAAACAAATGGAATTCTCTCTACTGTTTGGCCGTATTGCTCGCCATGCAGCACTTGAGGAAGAGGTATGCTTTTGAACTCTAAAGTAGATATCATTTAAATTATTTGATATTCTCAGCTTATCCAGAAAAATATAAAATTCTTTCATGTGAGCATACTTTTTGTTGACAGTAACTATCAAAATTCTTATCTATGCTTTTATGAGGTTTAGTGCTCATTTGTTGGGAGTTCAACATCCTTGTAAAACCAAACTGAAACTGGGGACAGTCTTCTCTGGTACTGAATTTCATATTTTAAGTCAATACTCTATGTGGCTACTTAAAAAAGTCAAGGAAGTTTTGAACTTATCATCAATCCAGTTCTAGTCCACTTTACTCTCAAGACTATTGTCACCAGTCACCACTAACGTATTTAAAGTGAATAAATTTAGTTGAATTTGTTAATCACTGGTTAAGGAAAAATTGCCTTCGTGATTACATAAAATGCTTTGAATTTAAAAAAAGAACAGTCACAATCATCCATTCATGCTTTTAGAATTTTGGGTCGAGGTAAAATATTTTTATAGTTTATTGTTTTTTCTATTCTGTCATTGACCTGGTATATAATCTGCAATGACCTGGTGAGCAGCAGCAGCATTGGTTTGGCCCTGGCTCTTGTTCTGCTGTAGTGTGCTTTTGGTGCTTAGTATGAAATGTGAAATGTTTGATTTGTGCATAACAACCAAATTAATGTTTCAAGTAATTATTTTATTTTTTTAACTTTTCATTTTATGTCAAAATTAACCCTCATCTCCCCTTCAAAATACATTTTGAAGTAATCTTCGTGTAACTATTATGGTCTTCTATCAATCTCTTTCATGTCTATTTTTGATTCAATTGTGTTTGATCATCAATTTGATTTTAAATTTCTTGTTGGGTTTGTACTATTTTAATGATTTGAGGTAAATCTAGGATTAATAGAATGAGACACTTTAAATGATAGATATTTTATGAACTGTGATACATTTTGTCATTGATGATTCATGCAAGTATTGAATTGTTAGGGCAATAAATGGTTTCAAATTTGGTTGGGTTTTGGTATGTATGGTGTGGCCTGCTTAGATGCAACTTGTGTGACATTTTTTCTCTTTTATTTGTAAAATATTGTGGGGAAATTGTGTTGGGTGCATGTGAATGTTTGAAAAAGGTAGATGTGAAATAGTTTTTAATAATTACAATAAAAGACTTGTTACTTGAATTTTTGTCTGAATTTTCATAAACATCTACAAACTCTAGTATAAATTTTTTTTTTATTCACTTTATAGTTGAGGAAAAAATTGTGTTGTGGGTCATAATATTTCATTCAGGTGATGCTTGATATTTGGGTTGGGGAAGTTGTTTGAGCAGATCAGAATTCTTCCACTTTTCTGTGATGCAGTAAGGTTGGTATGCTTTTCCATCTTGGGATTTTGACTGAGATAGAAACCAGCTGTAATTTGGTGTTTTTGGTATACCTTTGTTACACTTGCATTCCAGGTTCCACACACATATATGTAATTTGGTGTTTATGTTGACTAGTATAGAAACTTCAAACATTGTAATGTTCCATTGATCCATGGATGACTAGTTAAACAAGAATTTTTGACTATTCCATGGAAACCAAAATGTGATAGAGAAGGCAAAAACGAGCCAGTTGGGGTCTTTTTATTATGCATAAAATGTTGGAAATATTTGTTGTTTATTGTCATGTTTCCATGGGCATTCCCATGGAACTACATTTTTCTATTGCTCTTACAGGTCTACTGTCTGCGTATTATGTTTTTTTCTTTAATGAAAGTGATTACTTCTGTTTGGCCTTTTTAAAGCATTTTCTAGGTCCTTCAGTGAGATTATGCAATTACTAGCAATTTTTTTCCCACCCTTTTATCATGATGCTAATTTCATGTATGACTATCAGATATATTGATTATCTCTTCTTAGGAGACTATGTTGATCGGGGCCAGCACAGCTTGGAAACAATTACTCTTCTGCTATCTTTGAAGGTATAATACTCTTATTTGGCCTGTATGTTCTTCCTTAGTGGTTAATTATCTTAGGGCTCAAACATTTTCTTAAACTAAAACATGTTGGCTATGTTTCTGTCCATATTGATCGGTTGAACTAGAAACTTGTTACAAAGACCTAGAAGGGATCAGGTGAGTAGGTAGAAACTGATGAAAATGAACTGTTAACATGAATGATGTCGACTTTCCCAGTCAGTATTAAGTGTATGCTTAAGTAAGAGGATATGCTTGGAAACACAGTTACAAGTAACGCTTTTGAAATCTACATGGGATTGGTTGAACCTAGTTTGAGTAAGAGGATATGCTTCGTTTCTGTTTTCTGCCCCATTTTCTCTAGTTCAGATTAAACAAGAAGCTTAGAGGCTTTATGGTTTTTTTTTTCATTGTTTTTGTCGTAATTTTCTCTTCTTTAATTTGTTTTTCCCCTTTTTTTGCGTCTTTGTGCTTTTGTGTATATGGGACAGCATCGTTTTTTTGGGTAGGCATGGGACAACATCTTAAGCTTGCTTTCATTGCAGGTACCTGGATCATAATCAATTTACTGGGAGAATCCCGGATGCATTCTATAAACACTTTCTTGAAAGAAATGTGAGTTTCTGTCTTCAATCACTACAAGCAAATTGCAATTACCCAACACTAGGTCAAATGCTAATTGATTAAATGTTGTCACAGGTATATTGAAGGAAATGCTTTCCGGCCAGGTGTGAACCCTATTGGCGTCCACAATGTCCTCGAAGTTTTCTGACACAAAGTTCTTGTTTTAGTCAAAGCTTCCACATATTATTTACTCGTAGAATTGTTTCTTTTTGTTCTTGCTAAAACTAGGGTGTTTCAGTTTGAATTGGAATGTAGTTCTATAAATAGGATATATATAATGTACACTAGTGTTTTGGGAAATTTAAGAAATTTTGGAAGTAGGTTGTTTGACAGTTTAGAAAGGTGTTGTTGGATTCTTTGGTTGTCATTATTTTGTGTGAACAATGTCTGGTGGAACACCAGCTAGGGATGTCTGGTTGTTTCAGTTTGAATTGGAACAATGTCTGGTTGTTTGACAGAAATTTAATAAATCGAATGTTAATGAATTATGTATTGTGTCGAATGTTAATGATTCAGTTAATTTGAGTGATGCTTTAAAATTATAGGTTTATTATGGATTGAATAAATTATTAGGAATTACAAGTGTATTGTTTTCCTGCTTTAGCGACCAATTTATTAGTCGCGACAAATAAATAATTTTTTTTCGCAAAAAATGACAATTGCCGACCAAGAATTTTGGTCGCAAAAAATACATCTATTGCCGACCAAAATAGCTCTTGGTCGTGGAAACTTACTTTTGCCGACCAAAAGTTTTGGTCGTGAAAAGTAACAAATGGCGACCAAAACCTTTTTTGGTCGTGGAATGTCACAATTGTTTGGTCGCGGAATGTCACAATTGGCGACCAAACTTTTTGGTCGTTGAATGTGATAATTGGCGACCAAACTTTTTGGTCGGGAAAATATCACTTTTCGTGACCAAAGTGTTTTAGTGACTAAATGAATTAGTCGCGGTAATGATATATTTCACGACCAAAAATTTAGTCAGCAAATCCGACTTTTGCCGACCAATCAAAATTTTGGTCGCGAATTACTTTTGCCGACCCTCAATTGGCGACCAAAGTAGCGACCAAAAAATTTGGTCACGGATAACTTTTGCCGACTAAAAATAGACTTTTAGCGACCAATTTTTTTGTTGCCAAAAGTGTTTAATTCTTGTAGTGAAACCAAGGCTTTGGAAATCCACAAAAAGGGAAATCTTCCCCTTGGCAGGCAAAGCGTCCATTCAAGGTTCCCGGTATTGGTTTGTGGACTAACTCATACTGTTTGCCAGCTTTCTTTGCTTTAATTCTTCCTTTCAACTCAGCTCCCTTCCTTTGCTAATCTTCCGCAGTAGGTTTGTATCCCAGCCCAAAAGCATGGGGGTTGTGAATCATCTCCTTGGTAATAGTACCTCATTGCCTGCCACTTCTGCCCAATCCTGATCTAGGCATATATCCATGTTTGTTTATCATGTAGATAGACTGAGCACTCACATAAGTTCTATCACCTTCTGCTATGATGGTTTGAACCACCCGAGCCTCTGTCAGTGAGAAACCAGAAAGGAATACATCTTCTTCCCCATGCATGATTTCCAACACTGGAGTGGCAGTTCCCTAGGGAGGATGGATTGTAGAATTACTATACACAATAGCAATTTCACCTTTAAAGGGGTATTTCACCAACTGATAAACTGTTGGCGACACAACCTTTATCTGATGCAGCCAAGGCCTTCCTAACAGTAGATTGAAAGTTGTCGGTACATCCATTACATGGAATTTCTACCTTATGTTCGGAGGGGCCGATTAGGATATGGCTTTTGAGTGTTCCCATAACATCCCGGCTCGTGAAGTCAACCAGTCTCAACCCTATGGCATAAGCAGTCCATACCAGGCATGCATTAATTGCTGATCCATTATCTACTAAAACCACTGAAATCCACTTTTTTCGGCTCTCTAGAGTCACGTACAAGGGTCGGTTATGGTTGGCACCCTCAGGTGGCAGCTCTTTATCTGTAAAAGATATTACTGGTGTAACATTCCTGGATGTGACTAACGACACTAGTTGATCAACGGTAGTGTCAATAGGTAGTTTGGTCCGACTCGTTGCCTCTAGCAGTGCTTGCCTATGCTCCCTGGAAACCATTATCAATCCCCAGATTAATATGTTTGCCTGAATCTTTTTGAGTTGTTTCAAGACTAGATTTTCTTCACAATCATTCTCTTTCGATTTTTTAATTTCTTTGTTGAAGGATTCTGGCTAATCTAAAGTCGCGGGTTTGAAGTACTGACCACTCCGAGTCATGTGATTAACCTCGTCCGCATACCACATATCGTCGGGGGTATCAGATTTCCACTCTTCATTTGTGTATGCATGAGTCAAATCATTATCTTCCCACCACTCTCCTGCAGTTAAGACTAGGCTTTTATCTACCTGGAGCATGTTCACATCATACCA